AGAGAGAGAGAGAGAGAGAGAGGTGGGGGAGATAGAGAGAGGAAGGGAGAGGGAGTATGGCACTGTCACTTGGCGTTGGAACAAGGACCCCCACTTGAGCCGCGCACTATATAACCCAGCTCAGCACAGAGGGCTGGGTCCCGTGTTTCTCAGCCCACAGCTGCCTCTGGAAGAGCCTTCTCTTGCCCCCACAGAACCAGGTCCTCCTGGGGGGAGGAACAGAGCTGGAAGGGGTGAGAGACACGTTTGTTCTGCAATAGAGAGAGGGAGGTAGGAGACAGGGTGGGGTGGTGGAGGGGCTGGTGGTGGGCAGCAGGACCATGATCAGGAAGAGCCAGATTGGGAGGAGGAGGAAGCTGAGGAGCCCGTGAGCAGCCGACCTCAGGATCTCCTGCTCCCTGTCTGCTCTCTCCCAGAGATGTCCTTCCTGCTTCCTCAAGTCCTCCCTCCCTCTCACCCCTTCCCTCTGGTTCAGTGATGGGAACTGGAGGGTGATGGAGCTCTGTGTGTTGGGGGCACTGGATACCTGCAGGGGGCGCTGTTCACGTGGGGTCATGGGATAGCCTGTGGGGACCTGTGCAGAGAAACCTCGGAGGCTGGCCCAGGAGACTTGTCATCTGTCCTCCTGGCTGGAGGGAGAGAAGGGAGGCAGGATAAATCATCTCTTGGGGTCCATGTAAATCCAAATCAGTCTTAACTTTCTTTCTCCACCTCCTACTGAAGGACTGACTGGGTTGAGCAGGAAAGAATCTCCAGCTAAACCCAAGAATATGGAGACGCTGGCCAGAACCTCGGCATCGACACGCATTTCGTTTGGGCTTTATTTTGCCCAGGCTCACTGACTCCAGTGGAGATGTCCTTCCAGCAGAAGCAGCCCCAGTGCTAGCCCCCTCCCAAGGGCCCCTCACCCAGCCCCCCCCCCCAAAAGCCCAGCACAGTGTCCGCCTGCAGCCTTCTCCGGCCGTGCTCCAAGCTCTGAGGGCTGCGCTGGCCCCAGATCTCAGGGCGGCTGCTGCCTGAGCCACTGTAGTTCCCACTGATGCCAGTGCCAAAGCTCAGACTCCCGTGACACGGCAGTGGTCAGCAGTCTGGGGCCCTGGGTGTGGCCACAGCTCTGGGGGCTGCTGCTGACCTGAATCCTGATGCTTAGGTGATTTCAGAGGAAACAAGGATTCCAAGATCCGAGGAAAAGCCCCAGCCTGATGCACCCCTCCTTAGGAATCCCAGTTTCTCCTGAGCTAAACAGCCCAAGTGTTCACGCATGTTATGATTTGGACCTGGGATGTCCCCAAATGTCTCGTGGGTTGAAGACTTCGTCCCCAGGAGCCATGTCCAGAGAGTGGGGCCTCGTGGGCAAACTGATCCATTCAAGGGATTGATCCTTGAACGCGAGGAGGTGGGAACTGTGACCAGGTGGGGAATGACTGCAGGAAGCAAGTCACTAGGGGCATGCTCTCGGGGACAGTATCTTGTCCCTGGCCCCTTCCTTTCTCTTCTCTCTGATTCCCCACTGCTGTGAGCTGAACAGCTTTTCTCTGCCCCATCTTGCCACCACCAAGGTCTGCCCACCTCAGGCCCAGAGCAATGGAGCTGGCCGTGGGCCGAGACCTGTGCAACTGAGCCAAGGTCAACCTTCCCTCCCCGGGTTGTGAGGTAATATGTCCACAGGGAAAAGAAGCAACTAACAAAAGTACTGTGAATCCCAATGTGCCAGGTGACATTTTAAGCACGGGGGATAAACTTGACACAGACATCCTTTAGAGTGCGCACTTTCCCACTTAATGGAGGTTGGTACCTTCATTTTCTTGCCCTGCCGTCAATTATCAATTTTCATCCTTTGTGAGGTGGGCCTCGCTCTAGGGGGAATAAACGCAGCCAAAACAAAACTTTAAAGCATGAAAAGATATTTTTGTGGGGTGGGGGTGGCTCAGAAAGGCATTTATTCACCGTTGTCTCCTCATCTCAGCAGGCCAATACCTTTAGAGGGAAGAAGATACGTCATTAATGAGAGAAAAATAGCGGGTGTCCTAATTACTGCTGTTGCATAACCAATCACCCCACAAGCTTCTTAGTGTAAAAATCAACAACTTAGTTTTCCTACAATTTTTCGGATCAGGTATTCAGGGTGACTCTTGTTGTAGGCCCTTGCAGTCACATGTTCTCTGCTGCTCTGGTCACCTGAAGGCCTGGCTGGGAGGGACATAGGAGAAGATTCATTCAGATGATTGGCAGTCAGTGCTGGACAGCTGGAATATATGTCCACAGCATAAGTTGGCCACGTCATTCCAACATTCCTCCCATTTTCTGTCTTCTCCACTCTCAATGCTATACTCCACTGACCTCCCTTCTATTTTCATGGGATTCCCCAACCCTATCTTTCTCCCTTATTTTTCTCTAACCTCTGCATATGATGGAGGGCATTAGCCCCTTCACTTTCCGAGTCTGGCTTATTTCACTTAGCGTGATGTTCCCCAATTCCATCCGAATTGCCGTAACACAACAGGAAATGCCATAACTTACTTAGTATTTATGGCTGAGTAAAGCCCCATTGTGTATATAGACCACATATTCATTATCCATTCATCTGTGGATGGACACGTAGGCTGGTTCTCTAACTTGGTTGTTGTGAATTGTGCTGCTGTAAACATTGATGTGCCTATACCACTACAGTATGATGATTTTAGTTCTTTTGGATAAATTCCAAATAGTGGTATAGCTGGGTCATATGGTGGTTCCAATCCTAGTTTTTTTGAAGGACTCTTCATATTGCTTTCCAAAGTGGTTGTACTGATTTATAGCCCCACCAACAATATATGGGCATGCTTTTCCTCACCTCATCACCAGCATTTATTATGATGATTTTTATTCTCATGATTGTAATTCTAACTGGAGTGAAATGAAATGTCAATGTAGTTTTGACTTGAGTTTCCCTGATTTCTAGGGATATTGAACATTTTTTTTTTCATTTCTTTGTTGGTCATTCGTATTTCTTCTTTTGAGAAATGTCTGTTTGATTCTTTTGCCCACTTGTTGATTGGGTTTTGTTTGTTGTTGTTTTTTGTTGTTGCTGTTATTGTTTTGGTTCCAGGGGTTGAACCTAGGGTCACTGAACCACATCCCAACCCTTTTTATTATTATTATTAGTTTTCAGACAGGGTCTCACTAAGTTGCTTAAGGCCTCCCTAAGTTGCTGAGGCTGGCCCTGAACGGGCTATCCTCCTGCCTCAGCTTCAGAGTCACTGGGATTACAGGCCTGCCCCACCATGCCTGGCTGATTGGGGTGATTTTGGTTTTTGGTTTTTGGTTTTTTAATGCTAAGTTTTTTGAGTTCTCTATATATTCTGGACATTAATCCACTGTGAGAGGAATGGGTGGAGAAGCTATTCTCCTGTTCTGTAGGATCACTCTTCGTGCTGTTAATTCCTCTCTCTGCTGTGCAGAATTTGAGATCAGGCACTGTGCTGCCTCTAGCATCCCTCTTCTTTCTCAATATTGCTTTGGCTATCCTGGATCTCCGTTTCTTCCATTTGAATCTTAGGACTGCCTTTTCTAGTTCCCTGAAGTTTGTCATTGGTATTTTGTTGGGGATTGCATAGATCTGAACACTCCTTGGTAGTGTGACCGTTTTAATAATGTTAATTCTGCCTCTCCAAGAACATGGGAGGTCTTTCCAGTTTCTAAAGTCTTCTTCAGTTTTTTTTTCCTTAAGAGTCCTATAGTTAGGATGGTGATGCAATGCTAACGTCTTGTCAAAAGATAACAAAGTTATTTGCATTCATCATATTAAATTGATATCTCACTCTATTAAAATAAAATGCAATGGGAAACATTACTCAGCTGATTTCTACCTCCTAGAAACACTGATGGAGTTTGATCACTTACCACTCTTGTCAATCATGTTCTTATCACTCCCATCAGCTTTCATTCTGGAGGACACAGGTGCCCCGCAGCTCTGGGGCTCTCGGCCCAGGTTGGGAGGACCACACAGCACTAAGATTGGAAGAGCCCGAGGATCAAGGACCAGGGAGGCTGGAGCTTCTCCTCTTTTCTCCTCTCTGCCACACCTAGGGCTGAGCTTCCGGGGTGTTCTCTGAAGGATCCAAACTGGCCCATGAGGCCTATTACCTGTGAGTTCCAGGGCTCTTTGTCAACTCCCAACTCATGCCCCTGACTGTGACCATGTGAAAAGCCACCACTCTATCCCCCGCCCCCGACCTACAACCCCCTCAAAAGGGTCGCATGCACTGAGGAGCGTGTATGACTTGCTAGGTGCCAGCCTGCTGCAGGCTCCTGCACCCGATGTCGGTCAGCCCAGGAGTGACAAAGACAGGGACGTGTTCAAGGTCGCAGTGAATAAGGACCGCTTTATTCTTCACAGGAACACAAAGGAAGATGAACCCCTGAGTTCCTGGAAGCCAGCAGGATGAACTCTGGGGGACACTCTGCTCTTCCAGGAACATCTCAGCAGGAAACAGAGGCAACAGCAAGACCAGGCCAGGGCCGGTGCCAATCATTTCAGACCTTCCTTTTCTCAAATGTTTTCACTTAGTTTCATGATTCAAGTCATTAGCAGCCCCCATATTTGTGGCCACTGCCGGAGACTCCAAACTTCTGGCCGCTGCCGCCATCACAGGAGTCGGAGCTCTGGCGACGGCATCGGTGGGACCTGTGGTGCCTGTGGTGGCTCAGGAAGCAGCCGCCCTCGGAGCTGGGGCCAGCACAGCCCCCGGAGCTCGCAGCGCAGCCAGAGGCCGCAGGCGGACACTGTGCTGGGCTCTTGGGGGGGCTCTTGGGGGGGCACTTGGGTGAGGGGCACTTGGGTGAGGGGCACTTGGGAGGGGGCTGGCACTGCTGCTGGTTCTGCTGGAAGGACATCCTGGCAAGACTTTGACCTTGAACAAAATAATGCAAACATTTGAGCACAGAGTTCCAGACCAATGCCTTCCCTCTTTGCTTGTCAGACCTCCCCTCCTCCCAGAACTCAGCTGATTTCTAAGCAAAGACCAGTCTAGGAGAGACGTGGGAGCTTGGAGGGACGCTTGCATATGGATAAGGCATCTTTGAGGATGTCACATGGATCCGTGTGACAACAGGCTCAGAACAAGAACAGGAAAGAGGTCCTGTGGCTCATGCAATCTGTGGCTCCCTGACTCCTACCCCCACCTCCCCCCTCGCCCTCATCTCCCCCGGCTGCTCCCTGTGGGCTTCTTCCTGGGCTTCTGTTTCAGGTCTGAGCTCGTGTCCCCACACACTCTGAGCTGCAGATCTGTCCCTGTGGGGCACTCACCGGGTGCAGGAGGCAGAGAAGGCTGTTTCTGAGGAGCCTAGGGCAGGAGGCCTTTTATCCCGTGCAGAGTGGGTGACACATCACCTGAGCATGCTGCTGCTTCCACAGCCAGGGGAGGTGACAGTGCTGGACACTTCAGAGTTACCTGCCTCCAGTGTCTTCCTGGGCACGTGCCTCAGAGTCTCCTAGGTGGGGCCAGGATGTCCTGGTAACCACCCAGGTACTTCCCTCTGCTCCTCCCTGACCGTGCCGCCCCGCCCTTGCCCATTCATTCATTCCCTGCCCCTTTTGCTTCATTCAACAGTAGTAACATGAGATGCACATGACAGGTCTCTTCCCTTGGAGTACCTTGCAGCCTTGACCATCACTCAGAAAAATCAATATATTGGATCTGGTGAGATGAGCACTCTCAGAGGTGCTTACAAAGACTCAAGCCTCAGGGCCCAGCCTCGACTGTCAGTCCCCCATGGCACTCCAGGCCCCAAAGAGCAATAGAGCCTTCAAGTGCTCGCTGGGAGTGGCAGCCGGAGAAAGCCATTGGCCTGAAAAACTATCAAGTATGGGGTGAGGGGACCATCATGCCCCCCATGTGGCTGCAAGTGAGTTGGCAAGGATAAGGCCCTTAGAACTCTTCAGTGATAAGACTTAAAACCAAGGTCGTTAAGAAGGACGAGGAGGAGAATACTGTGTCCCTGTCTTCCTGGCTGCAGGATGTGGGTATCAACTAAAAGAAAAAGTGGTTCGTGTGTTTGGAGAGATGTGGAAGAAATCTGCAAAGAAGTGATGAATGGCATCGAGCTTGTGTTTGGATGGTTGGTAATTGTGAGGTGGATGATGGTGGAGGGGGTACGTGTGCCCCATTCCACAGGTTGGCCAGGTTTAGTGTGAACAATGCCATTATCCCATTGGATTTCTGAAATTACAGTCGCAGTCCTCATAGAATTTCAGCTCAAGCATGATAATAAAGCATATTACAGATATTTACCAACAAGAAATAATATTGAAGGGGACTTTAATTCTCACATATTAAAATTTAATTAGTTCAAATAAACCTTACAGTGACTATTTCAATCCGTTGTAAATTTGAAAGACTGGCAGCCTGTTTTTAGATGCTAAATACATACTGAATAGAAAAGGCTAGTGTTCTTTTCCTCTCCAGTCTAAAAATTACTCTTTTTGAATCAGTGATTCCAAAAGTTCTTTCTGATGTGTACAAGAGCACAAACGCCCCTGGGACATAGATAAAGGGATTTCTGGTGACAGCAGGGACAATCTGGGAGAGCCCGTGGTGCACATATGCCATATTTTCTTTATCCACTCATTCGCCGAGGGACACGCAGACGGATTTCACATCTCGTTATTGTTAATGAGGGTGCAGTAAACCAGGAGGTGCAGAAACCTCCTCAACATACCGATGTCCAGTGGCAAGACTGACGGATCATACGGTAGTTAATTTTCCATTGTTTGTCCGACTCCACACTAGGATAATGTACGTGCTTCTGTCCTTACTCTATGGTGATGGTTGTACCAACTTACAGTCCCACCAATAGGTACAAGTGTTGCCCTTTGTTCCAATTCCTTACCCAGGGGTGTTCTCTCTTGCCTTTTGAATAGAATCCGTTCTAACAGGTGGGAGGTAATATCTCACGGTGGCTCTGATTTGCATTTCCCTAATGATCAGTGATGTTGAAACTTCTCACAGACCTGTAGGACATCTGTATGTCCCTTTTGAGAAACGTCTAAAAGGGTCCTTTGCCCACTTTTCAAATTGCATTATTTGTTTTCTGTTACTGAGCTGTTCTTGTTCCTAAATACATTCTGGCTGTTAGTTCATTGTTGGATGTAAGGTTCATAAATATTTTCTTCCATTATTCAGATTATCTTTTCACTCTTGCTGTTTCCTTTTCTGTGCATAAACATTTTATTTTGATGAAATCCCATTTGTTTTTGCTTCTGTTGCCTTTGCTTTTGGCGATCAAAATCCAAAACTTTTTTTTCAGGCCAATATTGAGAAACTTTCCTCTTATATTTTTTTTCCTGGTAGTTTTATAATTTCAGGTCTCATATTTAAGCCTTTAATCCACATTAGCATAGAGAAATGTTTGTGTACACTAATAACAAACTATCCCAAAGAATGAAATCAAGAAAATAATTCCATTTACAATATCTCTAAAATAATACTTAGGAATAAATTCAATCCAGGAATTGAAAGGTCTGTGCACTGAAAATTATAAAGCATTGATGGAAGAAAATAAAGATGATACAAAAATGGAAACATACTCCATATTCCTAGATTGACAGGATTAATCTTGATAAAACCCTAGAGGTGGTGTCAGCAAGATGGTAGAATTCCTCAGCTCCACTCTCCCTCACATAAACCCAACTAGCAACTATCTGCAAACAAGAGCACCTCATGAACACCCCCAGAACTCCAGAATGAGGCTGAGACACTTCCTTGGACCACAGAACTAAGATTAGCTACAGGCAAAGGGTCAGCGACCACATGGACCCTCTCCCTGAGGCCCAGCTTGAACACAGGACTCGGGGAGACCCACAGTCTGGACAGGAGTCAGTTAGACGTGAACACTGGGCTCCCTCGCCATTCTAGGCCCTCTTCCGCAAAGCATTCTCCTGTCTACAGGAAACACTGGAGGTATCAGCAGGGTGACATCACCTTGTGTTAGTTAGAAGCAAGGGACACGTGTAGTGCTCAAAATGACCAGCAGCGTGATCCTTTGGTTGCTCTACATTCCAGCCAACAGGGGTAAACTGACGGAAAGTCTAGAAGACAGCACTGTGTGCAGTAAGTATGGCCAAGAGGACTCCCAAGGTTGGCTCTCCGGCTGACCTCCCCACACAGCTCTGGTGCACTCCCTGAAACTCCACTGGACAGGAAATTAAACTTCAAGGCACCACAGCTATTACTTACTAAAGGAGCAACTGAACCCATCTGATCTCAGCTGCTGAGCCTCAACCCAGATAATCCTGAGCATCCGCCTTAACCCTTCCCCAAGCCGAAAACCAGGATCAAGGTTGCACTTAACTACAGAAAGACATCGGGCCCCACCCAGGCTTCTTTCTCCGTAGCAGCCAAGTGGCTAATATACCAAGCTCAGTGCTCCACTTAAGGTTACTGTAGGATGGGGCTCAGCCTGTGTGCATGCAGACCTTTTTAACACATTCTCGAAATCTCCTCACTCTGAAGAGCAGTCCAAGATAACTTACTCAGTCTTTGTGACCAGCATGTAAATCGCAAACTTTAGTCCTCGCTAATAAGAAACACAACTTACCAAAATGCCCAGAAACAACCCCAGAGCTCAGCCAACAGCCCTGCCTGACTTCAGAGGTGAGCTAGTGGTCTCACCAAACTGGGGAGGACAGCCAGCAATTCCATTCAGCTCCAGAGCACAGTTGACATTCCAGCTCCACTAGAAAATCCTACAGCCAGGGCTGCAGCAGACTGACCCAACCGGAATCCCAGGACAGACTAAATAGGGAATGCCAATCCACCAAAGAAGACCAGTGAAGGCTAGAAGAAATAGCTATTCCTCAAACACACAGGCACCGATGCAGGGCAGAGGGTTATGGGAATATCAGGGGACAATCACACCTTCAAAGAGAAACTAATCAAGTTCCAATAGTGGACCCTGAAGAAACAGAGACACATGAAATGACTGACATGAACCCAGGACAATCTTCTTAAAGAACTAGAAAAAAAATAAAGATCAAAAATTAAATTCAATGTGGAAACCAATTTATGAAGAAAATGAGAAGTTTGACAAATAAATACAAACAATAAAAAAACAGAAATACTAGAGAAAAATACAATATGGAACCAAAAATTTAATACAAAGCTTCAATAGGAAACTTCATCAAACAGAAGGAAAAAAAATCGGTGAACTTGAAGATAAAATGTTGAAATTATCCAGTCAATGGAGCAAAAAGAAAAATAAAGATGAAAGAGAATGAAGAAGGCGTATGGAAATTGTGGTATGTCATCAAGAAACCCACCTTGGCATAGTGGGAACATTATCAGAAGGGAGGAAAAGACCCAGAAAACATAGTTAAGATAATAAAGGCTGGAAATTTCCCAAACATGGAGAAAGATGATAATGACCCGCTATAGGAAGCTCGGGGTGCTCCAATGAAATTCCACAAAAAAGGAGTCCATCACGACACATCATTATCAGATGATTGAAAATCAAAGACAAAAAAATAGACTGAAAGCAGCCAGAGAGACATTGCTCCACTGAAGGTGGTCTCCATACCGCTGGAGCAGATGTCTTGTCGGACACACTGCAGCAGTCCAGGAGAAAGTGGGGTAATACGCCCAAAGTGTTGAAGAAAAAAAACTGCTAGCCAAGAATACTTGACTTCACTGGTAAGTTTGTCCTTAGAAATTAGGGGGAAATAAAGATCTTCCCAGCTAAACAAGTGCTAAGGGAATGCATTACCACAGGCCTCCTGTGCAGGAATTGGTTAGAGGATTTAGTTCAGTTGAAACAAGAGGATATCAGCTAATAACATAAAACATATGAAAGTAAAAACTCAGTGGTAGAAGTAGAGCATTGACTTATTCAAAATTCCC